TTCTTTTGGATGAGAAAGCCCTTTGCGAGACAGGGTTAGGTGAAATGCAACCAAATGGCTAATTTCATCTCGGAATTTGACTATCATTCATTAAATTACCTTATTTGACCTAAGATAAATCGTGTTTTTTAGAGGTGTATTAATAGTTCGTTTGTTTAATTAATAAACCTCTATTGCATTATAATCCTAAACATATCTGTTATGCTTTAACAACCATATCTGCTCCTTAGTTCAGGCAAATCTTGAATCCTCACGTACTATATCCAAATATCGCTCGCTTTGCTGACGTGACTTAAGCGGAATAACGATTAAATTTTACCCTTGATTATGAAATGTTTTTAGGCATTTATCTTAACAAGCTTTCCTTTTGCTGGTATGTGAGATTACTTGTTAACTTCCGAAAAGAATTGACAGATTGTTTATAAAGCTTGCAGTTCTCTTCACTATGCATTCATGTCCTCGTTGCAGGTCTGAAAAATCGGGTAATGAGAATTAGGTTGGAAATATAATTGTTATTAAACAATCTTGCTTTCTCTTTAATAACTAAGTATTTATATTTCTTAAATTCTTTGTTAATCACTATTTTGATTCTTCCCTTAGCCACTGATGGGCAAGCCGACTCTCAGCATTCATTGGCAAGTGCCGAGGCCATTCTAGATGGCAAACACTACTCATCTCCCGTCATCCGAAGAACCCCCCTTGACTCACGAATGCCCTACGATCTGCTGTGCGCTTCTCCTGCACAGTCTACTACCACAGGCCTTATTACCACTGCCTCCCCTGTTCCTTTATCTGATCTCAAACTGTCTGATTTCAGAATCCCCGCATCTCTTCCTGCTCATTTCTCAACCAAATCTTTCTCCACAGACGCATGTGGTGGCTCAGTCCCAGTGCCCCGGAAGGCACTGATACCGCTGCTTGCTCTCCATTCCTTAGACAATACCTCTCATGATCCCCTAAATGACAGTGGCAGGGGAGATGACACCGGCAGTTTGGATGGCCTTTGTGAGGGCCCGAGTATGGAAAAGCCAGTATCTGGGACGCCTATGCCTCTTCCTCACTGTGAGGCGTTTTCTGGTAGTATGTCTGATCGGCCAGTAAATACTATCGCAGACAATCTGT